CTTGTGGCACCCCACATATAAGGGGCCTCGGGGTCGACCTCTGCCCCCCTGTCAACACAGACTGCGACCGGTTGGAGAGAAAGGAGGAGAACCACCGTAGTACAGTGCCTCCCACCCCCAACTCTTCCAACCGGTGCAGCATGATACCATGGTCGATGGTATCAAAAGCCGCTGAGAGATCTAACAGGACCAGGACAGAGGAGCACCCCCTGTCCCGAGCCCTCCAGAGATCATCCACCAACGCGACCAATGCCGTTTCCATGCTGTACCCAGGCCTGAAGCCCGACTGGAACGGATCTAGATTCGTCGTTTCATCCAGGTACTGGGGAAGCTGTCACGCAACCACGCTCTCAACAAAACGAAGGTTGGAGACTGGACGATAATTAGCCAATACTGCCGGGTCCAGGGAAGGCTTCTTGAGGAGAGGTCTCACCACCGCCTCTTTCAAGGTGGCGGGAAAGACACCCTCGCCCAGTGAAGCATTTATCATCCCCTGGCCTCCCTCGGCCTAAGGCCTTCTCTAATAATAACCGCTACTCCCCCGCCCCTCCCCTGTGACCTCAGCTGATGGAATGCGTGGAAGCCTGGTGGGCACATTTCTACCAGAGGGACCCCTCCCTCCAGGCCCAACCAGGTCTCCGTAATACCCGCCAGGTCCGCTCCCCCCTCCTGAACAAGATCACAAATGAGGGGGGCTTTATTTACTACGGATCTGGCATTGCACAACATCAGTCGAAGGCCTGGGCCCTGAGGGTCTGTGCAACCTGGAGAACGAGTGGAGCCTTGGGGGCCGGAGCACGCTACCGCTTGAAGACAGCGGATGCGCACTCCCTTAACATGATATGGCCCCCTGCTCCAGCCATATCTACCCCTCCCCCTCATAGTACCGATGGTAAAAACACAATCTGGACAAGCTCGACCCCCCCCCATTTCCTCCGGATCTCCCCCCCTCCGCCGCACATAGTGCCCACAACCCTAGTTCCAATTTTTCCCTCCTCCCCCGGGACCCCTTAAAAATTTATCCAAAAATTTACATAAAAAAACCCTCAACCCCCTCTTCGCCGCATGCCACCTCTCTGGGTCCCAAGACCCGTCATTGAGGTAGGCCCTCAATAACGTGGCAGGCCAGGCTTGCGAGAGGGGGGAGTCTCGCAATGCAAGAAGCTGTGCCCTTAAGTACATCTAAGCTCTGAGGTAGTGATAAGGTATGGCCAAGGGCTCCATGATAGTCCAAATTGTCCTGAAAAAAAGGCAGGTTGACCATAAATGGGAGAATCTCCACAAAAGAAGCAAACAGAGAGGAACAAAAACAAGGAAATGGGCATCAATCACCCTCTTGAAAGGCCTGGGTAAAATACCAGTAGGGTGAAAGCTGTTTGAATTTCAGAGGCCAGGCATTGCTACAAAGAAGGCATGCCTCCGGGGTGCTGATAGGTAGCAGTGTTTAATTGATGGATCCCAGAGTGCACCCATTTTGGCAGATTAAATCAGTTTAGCAGATTCTATGGGAGACTCAAGACTCTTCAATATAAGGAATAAGAAAATTTCCTTTATTGTAATATTACTTTATATAATAAACAGGATGCAGTGGCTCAGTGACTAAAATGCTGAGCTTGTCAATCAAAAGGTTGACAGTTCAGCGGTTCGAGTCCCTAGTGTCGCATAACGGGGTGAGCTCCTGTTACTTGTCCCAGCTTCTGCCAACCTAGCAGTTCAAAAGCACGTAAAAAATGCACGTAGAAAAATAGGGACCACCTTTGGTGAGAAGGTAACAGCATTCCGTGCGCCTTTGGCATTTAGTCATGCTGGCCTCATGACCACAGAAATGTCTTCGGACAGCGCTGGCTCTTCGGCTTTGAAATGGAGATGAGCACCACCCCCTAGAGTTGGGAACGACTAGCACATCTGTGTGAGGGGAACCTTTACCTTTTACTAATATTACTTTACAATATTAGTGACTTAGAGGGTAGAGAGAAGATCCCCATCCCATGTTACTTAGCCTCTTGATTTTTAGTTTCTTATTTAATCTTAGTTTTAAACATTTTTATTATCTTTTTTTACCTTTATATCATTTTGTAAACCGCCTGGAGTCATTGCAACAGTGTGATGGACAGCATATAAATTTAATTAATAAATAAATTGTAATAATCATAGAATCATAGGGCTCGAAGGAACTTGGGGGTCTTCTAGTCCAATCTCCTGCCCAAGGCCAGAGATTGCATTCCAAACAAATGGCTGTCCAGTCATTTCTTGAAGACCTCCAGGGATGGAGCACCCACAACTATGGGAGTATGTTCCATTGTTCTGTCAGAAACATTCTTCCTATTTCCAGATTGGATATCTGTAATTCAATAATAATATTTAGGTTCTGGAGGGAAGATGTTTTCTGTAATTTTAGATATATGATCCACGATCTGTATCCAGTCCCTTGGCCTTTTTTATATTCTTAAAAAAATAAGAATTCCTCTACAGTTTACCTATGCTTTTAAAAATTATTTCAGGATTTACATATTAAATTTTTGGCAACAATACACTGCAAAGCTCACTATAAACAGAGGCTGATTTTTTAAAAAATAAAACCCATGTACTTTTGATGCAATAGAATGTCAGTTATGTTGCAAAGGAACAAATTTGTGGCAGTATATTAATGAATTTTAGGGAAAGATAAATGGCTAGAACAAATTCATTATTTAAGACAATCTTCAGGAAAATCAGAAAATGGAGAAATCATTGCAGGATAATATATACTTATGAAATCAAAATGAAAGCAGTTTATTTTTTCAGGTGGTTATAATAGTTTTTTTTTACAGTTTTAACGTTTTATTAGTTTATAGAATAAAATACAAACATACAAAAGGAAATAGTAGGACACAGAGGGGAAGAGGGGGGGAAAGTGAGGAAGGGGGGGGGGAGAGAAAAAGGTGTTGACTTCTGACTCCCTCTGTTGGGGGTAAAATAAAGCATTAACATCGAACCACAACTTTTTACTTTTCCATAATACTATAAACTAGCCATTTCTATAACACCAAATCAATCTAATCAGTAAAACCCAAAATCAAAGTTTTATTTTTTTCTATCTCAAGCACAAAGTCCAGAAGCGATCTCCAAGTAGGAACAAAAGTACTTATATTCTTTTCTTTAATCAAAATGGTCAATTTAGCCATCTCTGCCAACTCCATCAACTTCTGTAACCATTCGTCCATGGTAGGAATCGAAATGTCCTTCAATTTTTGTGCCTACAGTAGTCTTGCTACCGTCAACATATATAAGATCAGAGTTCTAATTTTTTTTCCAAGTCTTTTATCATTAAGCCCAAAAGAAAAGTTTCTGGTTTCATTTTTATCTTCACTTTAAGAATTTTCTGTATTAAGATACGAATCCTACTCCAATATTTCTTTGCTTTGTCGCATGTTCATCATAAATGATAAAAGGTCCCTTCTTTACACTTACATTTCCAACATTCATTTGAAATACCTGTATACACAGTTCCTTAACCTTTCTGGGTTGGTGACCCTGGGGGTGGGAAGAGGAGATGGTTTTGCATGCTCAAGTACCCATTGCTCACACGAATGGGGTCATGAATGTGTGATGCTTACGCAAATGGGGCTGCAAGCACAAGAAATGTTTGTGCAAGAGGGGCACAAGTGCCTGCAACACTCTCATGATGGGGCTGTGAGTGCCAGAGATGCGCAAGTGGGGCCATAAGCATTAGAGATGCTCATGCGAGTGAGGCTCTGAGTGCGCACGCAGCCCAGTTACAAATATAACTTGGAAATATCCCTCTGCCATTGTTTAAATGGAATATCAGTCGCAAGTATTGGTAATGCCTGAAAAAAGAGCATCTTTAGTAAGATACGCATCTTAATTACAGAAATTCTACCCAATAGTGATTAATGCAATTTTCCCCATCTTTGTAAGTCCTTTTTAATATCATTCCAAAAAGGCACATAATTACTTTGAAACAGTTTTATATTTGTGTTTGTCAACATAACCCCCAAATATTTCACCTTTTTCTCGACCTTAAAACCCTACTTTTTAATCAATATATCACTGTCCTGAGATGACATGTTCTTAATCAATATTGTTTCGTTTTGTTCATTTTAAAACCCCCAAATTCATTTAATTTCCTCATCAAATGTTTTATGTTATTTTTTGGATCTTACAAGAATATAATGAGATCATCAGCAAATGCCCTCAATTTATAAGCTTTTTTTATGTTTATACCCATTATTTTCTCATCTTGCCTAATATCTCTATTCAAAACTTCCAACACCAAGATAAACAGCAGAGGAGACAAGGGGCATCCTTGTCTTGTACCCTTTTGAATTTCATATGAGTTAGTTAAGTCACCATTAATAACAATTTTTGCTTGCTGTGACATGTAAACCACTTTGACTCCTTGAATAAAGTTATCTCCAAAGTCAATTTCTTCCAGCACTTTAAACATAAAAGCCCAATTTAGATTGTCAAAGGCGGTTATAGTAGTTTTTAAAAATTATAATACTATAACATAAATCTTACAGGATTAGTCTCTGCTGAAATTCAGAAGAGGGTAGCCAGTTAAAACAGCAATTATCCAAATAAATTTAATCAGTTTGTTTTCTTCTATGCACTTAGCCCTCATAACTTCATCAGTTCCCAGTTTATCTTTGTGGGGGAAAGGCAAATTAACATAATTCCAGACAAAGCATGAAGTGCTAAGAATGTAGAATCCAAGAAAAGAATTTCATGGACATTTTTCAGGATAGCACTTTATTTTAAGGATGACATTCTTTAAATTTTACTTAGAATAATTTTAAAATGAATAATGATGGGATCTTGCAGGCACCAAGGATGGCATCCATAAGCAGATTGATGCCCATGAATACTTGGGGTGGGGGGAGGGATTTTTCAGATAAATCTTGGATTGCAAACCAGAGAAGTTGTACAGTATTATGCTACACTGCAGTGCTTAAATTCAATCAGTAATCGAATTTAATAATTCTTTGGGATTTTTTCAGATCTGTGTGAAAGAGTGTCCAGATAGGTATATCACTTTTCTACAGGCCTCCAGTATCGACCACACAGCAACCCAGGAACTAAAATATTATCACCAGTTTTGTGTCCCAGAGTTTACCAATCTGAAGAAGGTAAGTGAGCTGAATTGTTGGATTCTTGCTGTGTTCTTTCTGAAAGAGAATATCCTTTTCTAGACGGAAATTAATCTTTGATGCACCTGTGTCTTTCAATCTCTGTTCCAGAGTGCACCTGAAGTGTTGAAAGATGGTGAATGCCCAGCCATGCTTATACCAAGCAAGCCCTGTAAGTGTGGAATTGGGATCATAGAAACACCCAGGAGCATAGAAGAGTTCAGAGGCAGATGCATAAATAAATGTCTTAAATGTATTTATTCATATGATAAATCATATTAACTATGTACAACAGAGATCAAGTCTCATGAGGAACAAACATGAAGAGAGAGAAATGGAGAGAGCAAGTTGGAAAAGGTTGGAGGGGGTTTTATACTCAGTGTAAGCCCCTCCTTTCCATATAGGGGTGGAGACACTCTCTGCCTCCACTGGTGTCTATATGACACATGTGCCAATGGCTTGCAAATACTTGACAGTAAGTCCTTCTGGAAAACAAGGCTGGTAGCAGAAACTCTGGGGATTTTATTCTAGTTTCAAGAGCAGCTGAACCACCTTAACACAACCAACAAGGGCTGTGACTGCCAACTTCCATAGTCATTCCATATACAAACTCTAGATTTGATGCTGATTTTGCTTGTTACTCAAGGATAAATCTCTGTGAATTACATAGCCTAGTTTTTCCTTACTCTAAGGTTTAAAATATCCAAATAATTAATACATAAACTCTGTAGCTGCTTGGACTTAGTAGCTAATTCTTAATCACCTAAACTTTATGACACTATTATTATGTAGCTTCAGTGATTGAAGTTGGGAATAGAAAGTAAAACCTGTGATAATTTCCAGATTCTTAAGATATTTTTTTTATTTTCAAAACTTGGCAACATGGTTTGATTATGCAGAGCAGAATTTGGTCTCTGCTTATTGTTTTAAAGACCAATATATTAGATAGGAAGATCAAGGTTGTTGTTTTTAGCTATTCCCATCTATTGAATAGATGACTATGATTCCTGTAACTTGAAATGAGTATTTTTCTGTGTGCCAAGGGTGTGTGCCCTTTTTCAATTTTTTTGTTTTTGAGCCAATTCATTTTTGAACATTCAATAGTGAGTGAACTTCTTTCAGCCAGATGTTTGTAACACATGTAATTCTAATAAATTCACCATTTCACCAGAAGCTTTAATACAGCCTCTATTAGTAGTCACAATTGGATAGGCCAGAATGATGGGTATAAATCAGCTATATTAGTAGTAATAGGAGTAATAATAGTTGGCATTTCTAAGATAGAAAACAAGTGGAAACAATAGAGTAATTACAAAAATTTCATCAATAAAAACAGTGTATTAATAAAAGTAATTTTAAATACCCCTTAAAAACCTTCAGACTCTTCCCAAAGGGTAAAGAGGAAACTAATTCTAGAGTTCTTAAAAGCTTAGAACCTAGAGATTACAATTCTGGATGGGGAACAGAAAGGAAGTCCTTCCCAGAAAATATAAAATATGAACAAGATTGTCAGAGGACATACAGTTATATACTGGGAGGGGAGGAGATGAGGTACTGGGAGGCTACTGGGAAGAACCAGTAGTTTAGTTTGCTCAAATAGAGAATGTGAAGGCCCTGCAACATTTATTAAACATGAGAATAAAACCGTATTTTTCGGACTATAAGACACACCAGTGTATAAGACGTACCAAGATTTCAAAGAGGTAAGTAAGAAAAAAAAGGTTTTTGCCCTCATCTGCCCCCAGGAGCATTCTCCAGGCCTCCCAAACCCTCTGTGCGAAAAACGGGGTGCATAGAGGGTTTGAGAGGCCTGCAGAGTGCTCCTGGGGGCTGGGGGAGGGCAAAAACACCCCCATTTTTGCAAAAAAAACAGGGTCCACAGAGGATTTGAGAGGCCTGCAGAGTGCTCCTGGGGACTGGAGGAGGGCAAAAACGGGCCCGTTTTTGCAAAAAAACAGCACACAGAGGTTTGGGAGGCCTGCAGAGTGCTCCTGGGGGCTGGGGGAGGGCAAAAACGGGTGTTTTTGGCCTCCCCAACCCCTAGGAGCACTCTGCAGGCCTCCCAAAACCTCTGCGCATCCTGTTTTGTGAAAAATGGGCCCATTTTTTGCAAAAATGGGACAAGCGGGATGGGGCTTTGGGAGGCCAAAAATGGCTGTATTCAGTGTATTAGATGCACCAACATTTCCACCCTCTTTTGGGGGGGGGGAAAGTGCGTCTTATACTCTGAAAAATACGGTATTTGCTCTAATGAGGCAGAGGAAATCACTGGGGTTAAGTGTTTAAATCTCTCTGATGTTTAAACAGTGGCTCGTAGATGTTTACCTGCAATCAATAGTAAGAAAGGTGTTATCATGGTTGGAAACGCAACAACTTTTGATGATGGAAGTGGGAAGAAAAGGAATGTGACAGAACTTCTGGAAGGGGCCAAGTGAGTTTTATTTGCCTGTTATGATAAATTTATTTATTTATTTGGTTTACATGGACAATAAGCAAAAAGTGACTCTGGGTAGGAGCATAAAAATCAAGTATTAGAAAATCAAATAATAATTTGGAATTGAAAAGAGGACAGGACATTTTATGGTGATACAGTTTTCTTTCTTTCTTTTTTTTTATTAAAAAGTTTTATCAAATATTACAACAATTTTTTCCACGTCCCCCCTCCCCCGTCTCCCTCCAACCCCCCTCCTCCCACCCCGGACTTCCCAGAGCAAATACAGGGTGTAACATTTAACAAACATAAACTAAAATATGCTAACTTTTTGTAGGCTCTTAATTCCCTCTTGCTCTTTAACTCCCTTTCAACTAACAAAACATAATTCAAAAAGAAAAAGTTGATTTCATTCATAAGCTATTTGAAGCTTTTTAGTCCGATATTTGTTTTGAATATAGTCAATCCATCTTCTCCATTCCGATGTATATCTTTCATTTGAATGGTCCTTCAAATATGCTGAAATTGTGTCCATCTCTGCTAAGTTCACTACTTTTAATGTCCATTCTTCAATAGTAGGCAAGTCTTCCTTCTTCCAATACTGCGCCACCAAAAGTCTGGCTGCTGTTATTAAATTTAAAATCAATTTAGTCTCTATAACAGTACAATCTGTAATTATACCTAACAAGAAGTGATACAGTTTTCTTCCAGATAAATAATTGATGGGTATTTAGTTATGAGGAAGATGATGTCTCTTTCAATAATAGAAATTAAAAGTATTTTATTTTAACAAGAAAAGAAGTAAAAATATACAGAGAAAAGTGGGATAAGAAAATGAAGAGAAAACCAAGAAATGATATTACAAAAGTTTTTCTTTTTTATTGTTGCTAAACGTAATATTTCAAAAGCAGGGTGGGAAAATGAAGGGGCATAAAAGTGCGTTTATCACGTTTTTCTTAGAACAATTAGCTGAACTCTGCCTTGTTTATCATTATTTTAGGTAGTAAAACCTCAATATTCAGGGTAAATTGCTGTGTTGGTACTTTGCGATAAATAAGTGGGTTTTGGGTTGCAGTTTGGGCACTCAGTCTCTAAAAGGTTCGCCATCACTGGCCTAGTCTCATCAAAACTACGCTCTGCAGAGCTGCGTGTCTGAAAACCACCAGGTCCCCCAAATAATGTCCAAAATAACCAGTCGTGCCTGTCTCTGCTTATTTTCCAACTTTTACATTGAAGTCTCCAAGAATGTAAACAATGTCTTTTTTGAGCACTTGTTTCAGAGTTTCTTGAGCATGGCATAAAAGCCCTCTTTTCAAGCTCTGCTGCAGCAGTTGTTAGGGCATAGACTTGGATAATTGTCATGTTGAGGGGCTTGGTACGAATTCTGATTGTCATAATTTGGTCACTTACAGTTGAGAAACTTTCCACTCCTCTAGCAAGTTTCTTGTTTACAATAAACACTCCATTTGTTTTCCTGATATCATGTCCTGAATAATAAACAGTGAAGTCCTCAAACTTGAAAAAGCCATTGTCTGACCTGGCATCATGAGATCATTTCCCAGCCTGTTCATCATTTGATAATATCTAATTTACCCTGATTTATTCCTCTGACATTCCATGTGGCTGATGTATCTTTGTACAATGCAGACATTTGTTTCCGCCACCGGCTGCCTCAGCAACTCGAATTCCTGTTGCCCTGTCATTGGGTGTCCTATCTGACACATTTGAGATTTTTTCCATAGAATTTTCTTGGTGAGTTTTTTTGCGGACTAGGTCGTCAGGTCTTTCTCCAACCTTGTAACTTGAGTTTCAACAGCTGCTCAGGGACAGCAACTGCCATGGTCCTTGTTAACCCAAGTCAATCTAGTATTGGGTTTTTTTTCTGTTGTCTTATTCTGGTTAATGGGTTTCTGGATATTCTTAATCTGGCTCCTCAACTGAGACCTGTCTGGCTTGAGTGATCCTTCTGATATACTTTTTGGTGGCATATCTCCAGCATAGCTCTGAACCTTAAAAGAACATGCAATATCCCCCAACAAGAGGGTATCCACACGGAGGGGAAAATGCTCATTAGCCTCAGCCATGAGTGAGTGAAGCTCCTGCAGTGCTGATAAACAGATACAGTAACAGCAGGTGAAAGGATATCTTGATATGGATTGGACATCCTTTCTTCCATTTTCAATACTTGCTCTGTAACAGCTTTGCCTATGTCACATAGCTTCTAGGGATCAGCAGTACTCTTCATTTGGTCACCAAAAGGTGCTTTGCAGCATATATTAATTCAGTGGTGAAATCTAAAATTTGTTACTACCAGTTCTGTGGGCGTGGCTTAGTGGGGGGGTAATGTGACTGGGTGGGCATGGCCATTTTTTTTTTACTTTTAAAACTATTTTTTACATGTAAAACCATGTAAAAAAATGCTTTCAAAAGGCTCTGACAATCCAAGCTGAGTTGCCTGATCGGCAGGCAACTCAGCTTGGATCGTCAGAGCTTGGCTCGTCAGAGGCAGTTAAAAGAAAAAAAGCCTCTGATGATCGCCGGCTCAATTGGGCATGGGGGCAGGGGCAGGGATTTTTGCTACCGGTTCTCCGTACTGCCCGCCACCATCGCTACCTACTCGCCTGAGCCAGTCCGAACCAGGAGCATTTCACCCCTGTATTAATTCCTAATTCCTGTTTGCAAATTCTGCTTTCTCTGAATGATGAGGAGACAGTTGGGAGCAACTTTCAAAGCTCCACAAGCCTTGGGTAAAAATGTGTGATTTATCAATATAAAAATAGGTGCTCAAAGGGGCTCCTGTGCATTCTAAAGCATCCTTTTAGATAGATTTACACATTTATAGAAATTGCATTTTCTTTCCTCCTGTTATTTTCACTTTATGCTGCTTTTAATTACAGAAAGGCAAATGTCCTTCTGGAGACAAGACAAGTAGCTATGAAAATCTTTGAAGATTACACCGTTTCCTGGTACTGGATAATAATGTAAGCATAGGACTGAGTAACCCAGCTAATCTATAGAATGAATTCCCTCAGTTTTGGGGAGCATTCTGCATTCATTTCTTTTACATAATTGACATTGTTTATCCATATCCATCCATATTGGCTTGTTTCACAATAAAATGTTTTTTAACACTTTTATTGAGTTATAAAGTAACGTAAAATACAAAGTAGATTCAAAAGCAATGGGGAGGAAAAGGGGAAGGTGGGGTGAGGAAAGGTAAGAAAAGAAAAAGAAAAGGAAGCATTAACTTCCGACTCTCTCTGTTACAGTAAAATAAGGCATTAACATCAAATCACAACCTTTTGCTTTTTCATAATGATAGGAACAAGCCATTTCTATAAAGATCTATCAGTATAATCAGTAAAACCCAAGGTCAGAATTTCATTCTTCTCCACATCAAGCATGAAGTTCAGAAGCGGTCTCCATGTGGAAACAAAAATACTTATGTTCTTTTCTTTAATCAAAGTGGTCAATTTTGCCATTTTGGCCAACTACATCAATTTCTGCAACCATTCATCCATAGTGGGAATTGAAGTGTCCTTCAATTTTTGTGCATACAATAGTCTTTTTGCTGTCAACATATATAATAACAAAGTTCCAAATTTTTTCTTTAGTTCTTTTTCCATTAAACCCAAGAGGAAAATTTCTGATTTCATTTTTATCTCCATTTTCAAAAAAAATTGTATTAAAATATGAATCATACTCCAAAATTGTTTTGCTTTATCACATGTTCACCATAGATCCCCTCTTTACTTGTACACTTCCAGCATTCATTTGACAACAAAATGTTTTAATTTATTTGGGGTTAGTATGACATGTAAATCAGACTACTCTAGTTTATTCAACAAATCATGCTTTTAAAAATCATGGTTTAGCATTAGGAGTGACTAGCTATTTTGTTAATTGATTCATGTAATCATAATTGTAAACAGCTGCATGGTAAAGTAGTATTTTTGGCCTCCTGATAGCCCTGCCCCAGATAAATGGGCCCGTTTTTCACAAAAACAGGGCACACAGAAGGTTTAGGAGAGTGCTCCTGGGGGCTGAGGAGGGCAAAAACGCCCCTGTTTTTCACAAAAACGGGGGCGTTTTTGCCCTCATCGGCCCCCAGGTGCACTCTGCAGGCCTCCCAAACCCTCTGCATGCCCCGTTTTTTGCAAAAAACGGGGCATGCAGAGGGTTTGGGAGGCCTGCAGAGTGCTCTTGGGGGCTGATGAGGGCAAAAACCATTTTTTTCTTCAAAATCTTGGTGCGTCTTATACACAGTGTGCCTTATAGTCTGAAAAATACGGTAGTTTTCAATGCAAGAACTATTTCAAGACTTTTTGTCTTCCATATGCAGAGGTCTCGTGATTTCCATGGTAGTCAGCCTTGTATTTATTGTTCTGCTCCGGTTCCTGGCAGGGATCATGATTTGGGTGATGATTGTACTGGTGATTCTGGTGCTTGGATATGGTGAGTTAAATCAAGTCTTGAATCTGATGGATTATGGCAAAAGCCTACTAGAAATTCTCATTCTCATTCTCATTCTGGAGATTTAGTTTAGAGGTGTATAGTACTTCCAAATATAGATTTCTAAAATATTCCAAATCCTCACAATTGTGAGCTAACCATGATGAGCTGCTGGGGGCTGGAGTTAACAGTATTTAGAAGACTATACATTAGTGTGGTACCCACGGCTGACTCTACAGTTAAGTCTTCAGCTGTACTAGCAGAGAATTCTGTGAGTTGTAACACAACATATCGGAAAATGTCAGATTGGGGAAGATTCTGCTAAGCCTTTATATGCTATGTCTGAATGAATTTGTTTTCTGTATCTTTTAATCACCACTCCACATTGAGGCTGCAATACTGTGGATATACAGTGATGAGAATGTTAAACCAATCCTTTTGGTTGCCAATCCTTTGGCAATCCTTTTCTGTGTCTTTTCCAAGTCCTGTTTTTGACTTTCAGGAATATTTCATTGTTATATGGAATATGCTCATCTGAAAGGACAGACTGGTTCTGATGTCTCCTTGATGGAACTTGGATTCCAGACAGATTTTCATGTCTATCTCCACCTGAAGCAAACCTGGCTAGCTTTCAGTGAGTTCCTGTTCAAATATACTACCTAGTGACATGGCCTTTTTATTGAGCAGTCCTAGAAGCTATTTAAAAATTGGAGACAATGTCTTCAAACCTCCAAACAGATGAAAGTATATTCTGAATAGTTCTAATAATTTTTCTAGTTTGTGTTTTTATTTTGCTCAGTAAAATCTGGAATCATGTCATTTCCTTTTCTTTCTTTCTTTTTGATCCAGTGATCATCCTGTGCATTATGGAAGTTATCATTATTCTACTGCTTATCTTCTTGCGCAAGAGAATCCTCATTGCCATTGCACTGATCAAAGAAGCTAGCAGGTGAGGCTAACTTGGACTCTTCTTGGAAATGTCATCCACAACCATCCCCTCAGTTTTGTAGTTCTCAAGAATTGGCTTGCTATTCTTGTCTAAATCTATTGCTGCTGGAAAATTGAGCAGATCTGTAGAGCATCAACAAACAGAGAAAACACTAAATTGAAAATAATTCTCTCTTTTTGCAAAGGAATAAACTGGTTGTCCATCTCAAATACTGTATAAAATATTCTTTTTATTCATTTCTTGCAGAACTGTTGGGGTAGAAAGAGTTAAAAGTATGCAGATACAATATGTAGTCCTTGAATAGAAACTATCTTGGATATACCATAGGTTAACTATGGCTTTACTATATACTATAGATAAATATAATATAAGTGAAACCAAGTCCCAATGTGGCCAAAGAACAAACAAGACTTTATTGTGGCTGGCTGTACTAAGGCACTGGAACAGAATCATGTGCTTTTTCTTTCTCCCCATTTCCCATCCCTGTTGCAGGGCTATTGGACACATCATGACATCCCTTCTGTTTCCTCTGTGTACTTTCTTTCTGGTGTGTCTCTGCATTGCTTACTGGGCTAGTACTGCTGTGTATCCTTCCATAATTTTTCTTTCTTTCCTGGGTGAAGGGGATGGGTGAAGGGGATGGGTGAAGGGGATGGGTAGCAATAACACCAAATAACCTAGTTCTCAGATGTTCATCTCAGGCAAGGAAAAGTGGCATTTTTATTATTATTATAATTAAGAGTTCCTTGACTGCTTCTAGTTTCTTGTCTACGTCTAATGAAGCTGTCTACAAGGTGTTTAATGATACAGAATGCCAATATGCTGGAACAACTTGCAAACCAGAGGTAAGGAACTTAAAATAATTAACTAGTGAAAATATATTCAGTCAAGCTCTTTAGAAACCACAAGAAAATAGCAATCCGCTTCCTGCTGAATGTGTGACAGATCTTGCAAGGACCACAGATGAAGCTCGTTCCTTCTAGTCAGAGGTGGTATTCAGCTGGTTCTAAGTGGTTCTGGAGAACCGGTAGCGGAAATTTTGAGTAGTTCAGAGAACCGGCAAATACCACCTCTGACTGGCCCCACCCCCATCTATTTGCTGCCTCCCGAGTCCCAGTTGATCGAGTTCCAGCTGATCAGCTGGGTCTACTTTTGTTGCCCTGCACACAGAGCTGAAAAGCAGGTTAGTGGAGTGGGGAGGGAATGGAGATTTTAGAGTATCCTTCCCTTCCCCTGGAGTGGGGTGGGGAGGGAATGGAGATTTTACAGTATCCTTCCTCTGCCACATCCACCAAGTCATGCCATACCCACAGAACCGGTAGTAAATATTTTTGAATCCCACCACTGCTTCTAGTCCTTTCTTTGAAGAGTCTGAATCAAGCAGGTTTCCCTCCTATTCCAGAAAATGGGATGTTCAAAGACTATGTTTGTACTTTCTCCCAGGGAAAGGAACAATTTCTCTAGTTATATTAATTATTGGCACATTCTGGACATTCTAGAAGCCAAATTCTGGAAATTCACAAGGCAAAATTTTTGTTCTGCCTGGATTTTTGGAAGCCTGCATATATACTTAGAGAAAAAAAAATAGAAAAGCAATATTATTTTCAAGTAAGACATTTTAATGGAACTTTAACAAATAAACAATTCTCTTCCTTCTTTTAGACCTTCAGTACTTCCAATGTCACAAAGCTGTGCCCAGGAGCACGTTGCCTCTTTGCCTTCTATGGTGGTGAGACTGCCTACCACAAGTATCTCATCATCTTTCAGATTTTCAATATTTTCATGTTCTTTTGGCTGGCCAACTTTGTCATTGCCTTGGGCCAAGTCACACTTGCTGGGGCCTTTGCATCATACTACTGGGCTTTTAAAAAACCTGATGATATGCCAGCGTTTCCCCTCTTCTCCTCCTTTGGCCGAGCACTCAGGTAAAGGGACTGGAGTGCAGAGGAAAAAAACTCCATTTGCCTTGATATCAGCAATGTTTACCTTTTGAAGGAATAGGAAATTGTTATTAGGGACCACTAAATTCACAAAAAAGATTATTCTGAGCTTAGTATAATATTCTTTGCAATTTGGATAAGATGAGATAGCAAAATGTTCTTTGTTTTGTGGTTTGGAAAAGAGAGCTGATTTCTGAGTAGCTAGTATTACAACTGAAGTTGATATTAGGCTTATTCAAGGCCATTTAGATTCCCTTGGATGAAAAGTGCTGCAGTTTTCTTTGTGAGAGCATAGTCAACATGACGATGTTGTTTTGAGACTACATCACAGGTAGTTTCAAAAACTTTGAAAGTCTGAAGAGGCTTCTGCAAAAGCATAGTCCTACAAAGAAATCTCTCCTGGGCCTGGCAAGTCACTACCTCAGAATTACAGGGTTCTATGTGTGTTGCGACCATTTTTGGGGAAATGAGCCTTAAACATTTGAAAAATTGTACTGGTTACCCCATTGTACGTAGAAAGAAAAATTTTGGTATGTGAGCCTACTAACAAATAGTGCATGCAAGGAAAAAAAATGAGGCAGATGGTGACTCATCTTGGGGTTATACTGGAGTAGGGGTTTGCAACCTTAAACACTCAAAGAGCTATTTGGACCCATTTCCCACAGAAAAGAAAACACTGGGAGCCACAAAATCCCTCCCATGCCTCACTATTTCTTGCGCAGCCACAAAACTAGCATATGTAGTTGAATTAAACATTGTTTTCTTCTGAAACTTTTCTTTTCTTGGATTTATCCATGGTTGGCCTGCCGCAGGTTGAAATGCTCAATAAATTGCGTGCCAGCGGGTGTTGCACATTGGCGGTTGTGACGCATATTTTAAGTGACAGGGAACCGCAGCAGAGGGGTGAAAGAGCCACATACGGCTCCAGAGCCGCAGGTTGCTGACCCCTGTACTGGAGGCTCCGAATATCAGATAGAACCTTGTCAGACTGTTACACCATAAAAATGAGAATTACAGACTTCCGGTTTCCTTGTCTTCGGCGACGGCGGCGCTCTTTGAAGCTCCGCCAGCCCCGCCGCCTGTAGAGCCGCTTCGCGATCGAGAAGCGGCTCGAAAACTTCAAAATCCTGAGGATTGTTGGAGGAGAGATAGCAGGGCACAGGTCGAGCCCCTGTAACCCCCCAGGGAATCGTTTCTGGGGAGGAAACAGGCGCGGCTCCCTTCCAACCTGCTGAGACTCCGGGCGGCGTGGGACGATTCTGCTCCTGCAGAACAAGCCGGCTGCAGGAAACTTAAAGCGAAAGAACCAGCTTTAATAAACAGCGAAACTACCTGAATCCTGAAATTTGGAAACGCAAGTATTAGCACTTTGTTGACTTTTCAATCTGAGACAATGCGAATGAGTGAAAGTGCTTTGAAAAAACATGGCGCCTAGCTTCAGAGTTAACGAGCCAGCGAGTGTGGATTGGTGAAGTTATTTTGTTTTGCTACAAAGTTTCCAAGTTGCTACTAAGCTGTCTTGCTTGTTATAAGAGAAATAACTGGGAAATTTTTTTCCCTTTTCAATATTGGACTCTGCTTTATTTTAACCCTTGTTTGACCAAATCTGGGGGACTTTTTTAGAAGTCTTTGTGCAGGAGGGAAAGGAAAAGGAACTTCCCTCTTTAGAAAAACTAGATCACGAGCCAGGATGGCTTCAAAGAAGCAGGAAGGGAAGGCATTAGGGGGGGGATCCCCCACACACAAACAGCAAACGCAACTTCCCCCTGATCAACAGCTACAAACTCAGAAAAAAGAATTTGATGTGGGAGATTTAAAAGAATTTATTTCTAAAACTCTGGATGACAAATTTCAAAAATGTCAACAGGAGATAGATGATAAATTTCAAAAATCACATCAGGAACTTATGCAGGAAATTAATGAAGTCAAAGACATGGTGAAACAGAATCAAAATAAGGTGACCAAAAAAATAGCAGAAGTGGCGTCTGGCCTGGCAGAATTTATTGGGAAAGTTGATTATAAAGTTGAAGAATTCAAATCAGAAGTTAATGTCAAGATGAAAGACAATGACTATAAAATTGATGAAGTTGATAATAAAATGCAGAGAATTGATGATGAGATTGTTATGATACAATTCCGGGCGATGGAATTCGCCATACGGCTTCGGGGAATTCGAGAGGAGGAGAGACAGGATTTGAGACAAGTTTGTTCTGAAGCCTTGGCCAAGATTCTACAAGTTAATCCTGATGTGGTATTTCACAAAATAGATAAAACCTATAGAGTGAACTCTTGGGTGGCCAGACAAAGACAACTGCCTAGAGATGTGGTCATATACTTTACAGAAAGAGGAATTAGAAATGATATCCTGCAAAAATCTTTTTATACTTCTGTACAAGTGGGGGGTTCACGACTTCAAATTTTTAAAGAATTACCTCCTAAAATGCTGAAAGCCAGAAAAGAATTTGGTTTTCTTGTTAAGGAACTGAGAAATTTACAGATACCCTTCCGGTGGGACGCACCAGCTGGGTTAATTTTTAGATACAAGGGAGAAGGGTATCGGTTGAATACCGTGGAGAAGGCACAACACTTTTACACTACTATTCTTAAGGAAAGAACACCATCTCCACGTACATCCACAGTTTTGGAGATTAAAGAGAGTGAAGAGAGGCAATTGCAAGAACAGTCCAAGCAGGAATTAGAAGTAGTGCAAGGTGCAGAAGGAGGTTTTCTGAGTGAGCCCTTGTTGGATTCTTCTCCAATTTTGGATTTGATTCAGTTGACAGAAGTTAAAGATCAACGTATAACTAGAGCCCAATCCAAGCTACTTAAACAAAAGCAACAACAGCAACAGGAAAGACAAGACAAGAAGGCAGTTAAGAGTATCGTACAAGAGAGTGGAGCTATGGGAGGAGCGAGATCGAAGCTCTCGGATGAACTTCAAACATTTTGCTCTGTGCTCCAGAAAGAGGCTGATGACCTTTAAGTGTCTATCCTGGAATGTCAATGGGTTGAATTCAGCACAGAAAAGGAAGAAATTATTTACATATTTGAAACAATTTAATAATGATATAATATGTTTACAAGAAACGCATATCACAACTCAAGATCAAAAATATTTGATAAACTCAAAACTAGGAGCACATTATATATCTTCAACTTCGCAGAAAAAGAATGGTGTGGTTATTTATGTAAATAAAAAATTAACAGCGAAAGTTATAGAAGCAGATCAAGATGGTAGGTTTGTAGCAATTGAATTGCTCACAGCAAATGGTCAAATTCTTTTGATTGGAATTTATGCTCCCAACCAACAACAGGATTATTTTTACAAGATGTTACATACTAAAATATTGCAATGGGACTATAGATCTATTTTAATTATGGGAGACTGGAATGGAGTAATTGATTCTAAACTAGATAAAAAGAGCCTGGCAAAGTCTAGAATTAGATTACCACAGACTTTTTTTTGATATGAAAGAAGATATGGAATTAAAAGATGTTTGGAGAATACATAATCCAAATGAATTGGACTATACTTTTTTTTCGGATAGACATAGATCTTTTTCTAGGATTGATTTTATCCTGTTGTCAAATGATCTACTTGTTAAGACAAAAAGAACAAAGATTTTTCCAAGAACTCTGACTGACCATAGCCCTGTATGGATAGAAATTGAGATGGATAAGGTTGAGAGACGTTCTTGGAGATTAAATGAGAACTTGTTTAGATATGAAAAAAATACAATAGAACTTAAAAAGCACTTGAAAGAATTTTTTGAAATAAATTTGAATAAAGGTACCCCAATTGAAATTGTTTGGGATGCAAGTAAAGCTTATATGAGAGGGGTACTCATCTACATGAACTCTAAACATAGACTGCTCCGACAAAAGAAAAGATCTGAGTTGGAAATGGAAATAAAGAATAAAGAACAGTTACTTATTAAAAATCCAACAGATGAAAGAATACGAAGTGCTATAAAACTTTTGAAAGACCAATTTCAAATGCTTATGGCGGAACAAGTTGCAACAAGTTTACAATATGCGAAGCATAATACATTTTGCAACGCTAACAAACCGGGCAGATGGTTGGCTTACATATTGAGGAAAAAACAAAGTATACGGACTATTGATAGTATTGATATTGGAGGGAAAGAAATCTTTCAACAAAACTAATTAAAGAAGCTTTTGTGGACTATTATACTAAACTATATGCCAAAGAAGAGGTGCAGAATGGACTTATAGAAAAATATTTAAAGGATAAGAGAGTTACAAAAATTACTGATCAACAAAAGGAAAGAATGAATTATCCTATAACAGAGGAGGAGATAACAGCAGCAATTAAACAGCTAAAAACAGCCAAAGCTCCTGGCACGGATGGTTTGACTGCAGTGTATTACAAAACTTTACAAGCTGAAATGGTGGGACAACTTAGAGATTTATTTTGCAATATTCAACAAGGGGGTAAAATACCCCCATCCTGGACAACTGCTTATATATCTTTGATACCAAAAGAACAAGTTGGTCCTAAAAAACCAGAGAACTACAGACCAATATCTCTTTTGAACACAGACTATAAAATTTATGCGAAGGTATTAGCCAACAGGTTGATGCCAGTAATCCAAAAGGTGATTCATGCGGACCAAGCGGGATTTATTGAGGGCAGATATATGAAGGACAATGTAAGGCAAGTAATAGACTTATTGGAATATCTTGATAAGAATAAACAGATTTCTGCAGTGCTGGTTTTTTTGGATGCGGAGAAGGCCTTTGATAGAGTGGATTGGAATTTTCTACTAAAGACTTTAAAAAAGATGGGCTTTGGGGACCAATTTATACAGGCGATCTCAGCAATTTATCAAGAGCAAAAAGCACAGATTATTATTAATGGAAGTTTGACGACAGAGTTTAAAATTGAAAAAGGAACAAGACAGGGATGTCCGTTGTCCCCACTTTTATTTATTTTAACATTGGAAGTCTTGCTAAATATAATACGGGACTCAAAAACTTTGAAAGGCATAATGATAAGGCAAGAGGATTATAGAATAAAGGCATTTGCAGATGATCTGGTGGTTACCCTATCACAACCAATGGAATCAATAATCTTGATGAACGACATTATACAAGACTATGGTAGAGTTTCAGGTTTTAGAGTGAACTCAAAAAAGACTAAAATGATAGTCAAAAATATGACACAAGATCGTAAACATGAGTTTGAAAGGAGGGCAGGTTTTGAAATTGTACCTAAGGTAAAATATCTTGGAGTTCAGGTTGCAGAATCAAACATGAAATTGTTTCAAAATAACTATGAGGTGTTGTGGCGAGAGGTTCAGAAAGACATGGAGACTTGGAAAAAGCTGCAACTGTCTTTACTTGGAAGAATAGCAGCAGTTAAGATGAACATTTTGCCAAGATTTCTGTTTTTGTTTCAAATGATTCCGGTGCTTAAAAGTGATAAACAACTGAAAGTTTGGCAAACTGGACTTAATAAGTTTGTCTGGAACGAGAAAAAGCCGAGAGTGAAATTGAAAATTATGCAAGATGTTCCAGAAAGAGGAGGCCTTAAACTTCCAAACCTACAGTTATATTATGATGCAGCAGCTTTAACTTTAACAAGTGATTGGTTTGGAAGTAAAAAGGCTGGAATATTGAATGCAGAAAGTTTTGATCTTGAATTTGGATGGCATGCTTACCTATTTTATGATGATAAAGTTGATAAAGTATTTAAAAGTCATATACTTAGAGACTCTTTGATGAGAGTTTGGAAGAAGCACCGACTCAAATGGGATTATAAAATACCGCTATGGCTGGATCTTGGTCATACCTTGTGGAATACAAATATAATGTCACTCGGGGGGTTTTTATACAAAGAGGTTCTTTTTACAGATGCGGGCAGATGGCAGTTGAAGACATTGCAGACACTGTTGGACGAAGGGATTAATTTAACCTGGTTACAATATAATCAATTACAATTGAGATGGAAAGAGGACCAAAAAACTGGTATTATGTTGCATGAGGAAGAATTGGTTAGACATATAAGAGAGAAAGGTCCAATGCATATTAAAAGGCTTTATAATGTTTTGCTAGAAAGGGATTCAGAAACGGAATTAGTTAAAGATTGTATGATTAAGTGGGCACAAAATTTTGAAGAACCAGTGATGTTGGAAACATGGGAAAAAATCTGGGTTCAGAATGTTAAATTTACACAGTCGCAGAATTTGAGGGAAAATTTTTATAAAATGTTTTATAGATGGCATCTAGATCCTAAAAAGTTGTCATGTATGTACCCTAATGTTCAGCCAAAATGTTGGAGATGTGAATGTTTGGATGCTACGTATTATCATGTTTGGTGGACCTGTAGGAAAGTTAAGGCTTTTTGGATAAAAATATGGTGGGTCATGCAGAATGTTTTGAAGAAAAAAATTCAATTTTCTCCACAATTGTTTTTATTGGGTATAGTTAAGGGTTTTACACGGGGTGAAATAAAATTAATATTGTATATGATAACAGCAGCAAGATTGTTGATAGGTAAATATTGGAAGAATGAAGCTTTGCCTACTATTGAGGAATGGACTTTGAAGATGGCCAGTTTTGCAGAGATGGCGAAGATTTCAGCATATTTAAAAGATTGTTCACAAGAGACTTATGAATGGGAATGGAAAAGGTGGATAGAATATGTTCAGAACAAATACCAAACTAGAAAGTACCAAATAGCTTTTATTTGAAAATAATGTATTAGAAATATTTTAATGTAAAGAGATAAAGAGGGAAAATTATATAGGGGGAGGGATGGGTTCAGGTATATATATCAGTATTATTAGTTATGAGTATATAATAGGGAAGTCTGGGGGGGAGGGCTAGGGAGGGCTAGGGAGGACGGGAAGTCTGGGGAGGGAGGTGGGGGGGTGAAAAAAAGGGGTGAAAATGTAATTGTAAAACTTTTGCAATTAAAAAAAAATGAGAATTACAAAGTTTAATAAAAACTTTTTTCAAAAAAGCACTGAATTCAACTTGATACTAACTCAAATTTGTTTTTGTGACCATAAAATGCTTGTAAATTACTATTTGAAGGTTCAGCATTAAATGTAAGAATGTAAATGCGTGTCTTAATACCGAGAATTACTATTTAACCCCAGTTTTGCATAACAGTTTCTTCAAAATGGTGCAGTTATAGTCATTATTGACTTTAGGCATCCATTTGAGCATACTTTCTATGTCATCTTGTTTTGCTTTGGATAGTGTGTGTACCTGTAACTCTTGTCAGGCACAGGCAATGTAACAGATGCGGCAGGCGGTGTTGGCGAAGCAGGTTTTCTGCAAATACTCCTCGCCTTCTTTTTAAAGGCATGGATGGTGACCATGTTCCAATTTTCCACAGCGAAGGTTGTCTTGAACCTTATTGTTGAATGGGTCTGGGTGAATTTTAGTTGTGAAACTTTACCATACGGCACATTACTGTACTGAAACTGCTTTGAACACATGGAGTGGCAATTTTATGTTCCTCGCAAAGGTCACAAAGATCTTTTTTGGGTACGTGGAATGTCAGGTTAAATTCATAGTTGAATACAGTTTGATAGTAAGAGAGTTTGGTTCAGTTCCTGTTTCGCTGCTTTTTTCTTTTTACAGCTTGTACATGTTGCTTACATTCAGTGAAGATTTGAGGTACTCTTTTTTAGTTCTAGTACAACAATAATATGACTCTACCCTCGGAAATGAATTAATATGGTCAATTTCTGTTTGTCTGGCTGTAGCAAAGAATTGCTTATGAGGCTGTTTCCCCCCTCTTATCTGTAGGTGGGGTATCTGTTACTAAAGCTCTCTGGCTATGGTCGTTGTACAATGGCTTTGGACTGATAGTCAATGTTCCTAGATAAAAATCCTTGCAAACACGAATTGCCCTGATTCACTGAATTCAGAAATCAGTGCCCTGAAACATGTATATTTGAGTGTGACTCATAGCCATAATTATTACTAGAATCAAAATGCAGGGCTCCAGGCCTGCATTTTTTTATTTTTTTATTTTTGCTTTAATTTATATGTCGCCCTTCTCCGGAGACTCAGGGCGGCTTACAATGCGTTAAGCAATAGCCTTCATACTTTTGTATATTTATACAAAGTCAGCTTATTGCCCCCACAATCTGGGTCCTCATTTCACCTACCTTTGAAAGGATGGAAGGCTGAGCCAACCTTGAGCATTGCATTGCAATAGTGTTAGTGAATGGTATAGTCTTAAAGCACAGACTACTCACTCTGGAACATACTCAGATCCACTCGGTTCATATAAGTCTGAACTTGCTACCATATTGTGGAAAAGAAACTTTATTTTGGTATTCACATGTCCAGAAATGGAGACAATGATAGACGCTGCAGGCTCCATCCTTGCTCCATCATATGGGAGCAGCCAAGCACGATAATTGGCTGCTGCAAATAGAACCCTGTAGTTCTGAGTTTTTGTGTGATAGTGTTGATAGAACCTTGTAATTTTGCTATTTGTGGCAAATCTATTTAGAAATTTTACAAAATAAGTTGTTAAAAAATTAAGTCATGGTAGATAGGACCATGTCACACTCTTAACTCATTTTCGACAAAAATGTCAGTCAGAACCCTGTAATTCTGAGGTAGCAAAGTGCAGCTTGAGAAGACTCAGTCCTGTGTTCTTCAGTATAGTAGCTCCCACAGCCAGAAGAGACTCCAGTGAAGAACTATGTTATCCTCCCTCTTTCTTTAAGAAAAAGTATACAGGTGTGTTGCAGCCTTCACCAGTGCAATTTCTCTGCCGCTGTTTTCTCCCTGCAGGTATCACACAGGTTCACTGGCCTTTGGATCCATGATTCTTGCCATTGTCCAGATCATTCGAGTCATTCTGGAGTACTTGGATCATAAACTAAAAGGTATTGACCCTTTCTACTAGCTAAAACTTTCAGGCATTTCTTTTGTAACCCTTCTCCCAAGGGATGGTGCTGTTGTGGTTTGTGGGGTGTTAGATTTTTTACATTTTTATTTTGATCTTTGTTGTGTCATTCTATAGCAGCTTAAGACCTATAGGAATTTTGCACTGCAGGAGCATAATTAAATAAATAATCAGAGGGATACATGACTCTTTCTAATGTGATAGAGAGAATAATAAGAACTTTCTCCTGTCCTGTTTTGCAATCCATTAGCTTCTGAGAATATGTTTGCCAAGTTCCTTTTGACCTGTTTCAAATGCTGCTTCTGGTGCCTGGAGAAGTTCATCAAGTTTTTGAATAGAAATGCATACATTATGGTGAGGAATTCAAGCATCTGTTACTTATTTAGGACATTAATGCAGATTTCTGGATGCTCTGCACAGCAAGGGAACTGTTCTAAATACTTAGCCATACCTTTGGCAGAAGTTGAAAGTTTTCCTTTAGATTCTTCATTACTTGTTAAAACGTTTAAAGCAGACTTGGCTGCCAAATGCACTCATCCTGATCATTTGTGTAGTGTATTTACTTGTCCTGATGATGCCATGTCAATGCTGCAGCAGTTATTCATCATGCTAATTACCCATTCACGTTTATGTATTGATTGTTATTGTGAAGTTGGTTGTGAATCATGAAGTCCTTGGAAATTCCAGGAACTGGATAAGGGGAGAGGCATCTGAAGGAATAGTAGGAGCCCCTTGATACCAGGATTATTAAATAAAGATCTTTTTTTTAAAGCTAGCTGCGCTTGGGGGGGGGGCATGATAACAAACAAGATAAGAGGGATCCAGGCAAGTACAATGTATTTTCCTTCTTATTCCCTTCACTTCATATCCCCAAAAGTCATGTAAAAATTGTGTTTGTTTGTTATGTTTTATCATGGCACTAATACTGTCTTAATATCTAAATTTGCCTTTTTCTGGCTCTAAGTAATCATGTCTTTGTAAAAAAAATAATGTTCTTAAATAGATTTTTTTTCCCCTTTGGCAATTTGCCCAGATTGCTATTTACGGTACCAATTTCTGCACTTCTGCCAGGAATGCCTTTTCCTTGCTCATGAGGAACATAATCAGGTGAGGGCCTGGAAGCTTCTTTTGGTTTTATTATTCTGTTTGGAAGAGCTCGGCTAAGTTCTTTATTGTTAGATTTAGTAGCTGAAAACTCCATGATAAACTGGTACAATGATTATCATTTAAATGTGCTGTGGCAGTGGGCATTCTGTGTGGTAGTGCTCACCTTGTGGAACAAACTGGACTCCCAGCTGGGAAAGAGTACAGAAATATGAATACCTGCGTATATGAATGCATCCAAGTTCTCTGGATTGTCACTTGGCAGAATGAGATTGGTGGCATATAAATATAATACATAAATAAATAGTATCATCTCTAATTATGAAAGAACCCCGAAATAGTTTTAAAGGGGACTTGGGTTAATGTCAGGGTTCCAAAAAACACCCCCAATGAAATAAAACTCCAAGGCAATAAATTCCTCAAAGTTTATTAGAGATGTCATGTTGGCACATCTGGGCAAACCCGAATCTGAAAGCTTCCAGGTTTTCCCCACCCAGTTGAAAGTTCACAACCCTGCTCCACACCCACAAGTTCATCACATGATTCAATCCATTCTTCAGACTCAACTGGAGACAATCCCCAGTCACTCCCATCCAGATGCAGGCAAATGTCCTTGACTCCCAGAGCAAGGAATGTTGTTATGGCTATTTTTCCACCTCTCCAACAAAAAAACCCTCCCAATTTTCCAGGCTAAAATATGTGGCAGTTAGGAAGCTAAAAAAAAAAAAAAAAATGGCTTCCAAAACTGACACCGCCCCAGAGAAAATTGCCTGGGCATTGAAAAAAGTGACTTATGACCATTTTTCACATTTAACAAGCATTGCAATTGTCAGGTTTCGAAGTCGTTTCAAATAAATTGCATTTCAAACAAAGTCTTTGATGAAAAACTCCCATTTATTAAGCACGACATTCTAACTCCGACTCCATCGCAGCCAACACTGACTTCCAGACCCAAAACCCTCCCTTTCCGTTCCCCACTCCTCTGCACTCATTGGCCATCTTCCAAGTCACTCTACCCCTATCTACTGCTACAGCTCAAAGGAATTTCCCCCCTCCCATCCCATCTCCTAGGGGATATTATCTCCAGGGAAAATAAGTAGGTGAAAAGTCAAACGTCCCTTTCCAGACACATCCGCTTCTCCTTCTTATGTCAGCACTAGAGTAAATGCAGCTTGAAGTGTTGACAGCAGTATTCTCACAGTCACATGATCAAAATTTGGATGCTTGGCAACTATTTATGATGGTTGCAATGTCCGGGGCCATGTGATCACTTTTTGTAACCTTCTGACAAACAGATTCAATGGGGAAGCCAAATTTACTTTACAACCATGTTATTAACTTAACAACTACAGTAATTCACTTAACAACTGTGGCAAAAAAAGGTTGCAAAATAGGGCAAAACTCACAACAGTCTTAGCAATGGAAATTGTGGTCAAGGACTATCTGTAACTGTAATGGTTTCCTCTTTGTATTCAGAGTGGCTGTTTTGGACAAAGTCACTGATTTCCTGTTTTTCCTTGGAAAAATCCTAATTGTGGGAAGTGTTGGTAAGACATTCATGATATTTTGGGTTTTCTCTTAAGTTTGGTTACTATTGGTCTTCTTTTTGGTGCTTCTATGAAGATTTCACTTAGGTTTTAGCATTTGCATTTGAATGAAATCGTATTTGCAATAAAGAATATATTTAAAGCAGGGATCAAAGCCTTTTTTTTTTTGCATAACAGGAATGGAACTCTAATATAGCTGGAGGTAAAGTTTTTACTTTTCCTGAGTATTATTTCTGTACCTTTCCATGTTTTGCTCTACTTCAGTCCTACTTTTGCTCTTCCAAAAATTTCCACTTGCAAGTCACTAGTCATCAGCTTGCCTCAAATTTTAAGATATCAAGAGTTGTAATCCAGTATATGTACAGGACATAAAGCTAAGGAAGACCTTTTCCACCTCTCTTGCATGTTACTACAGCTCATTTTCATAATAGGTAGAAACAAGTACAAAATCTAAACCCCATTTGGGAGGCGGAAAGAAATTGGTTAAAATATGTATGGGTCAAAGTCAAACTCATTTGTAAAAATGATGGGATTTCCAAATTGGAAATAAGATATGGAGAAAATGTGAAATTTAATTATTTTCATTTCTTTTTAGGTATCCTTGCTTTCTTTTTTTTCACCCACAGAATAAAATTGATTCAAGACACAGCACCAACTCTCAATTACTACTGGGTCCCCATTCTGGTTAGTATTTTTAAAAATATGGATGTATTTTTTTTTCTCCAATTGCAGTTGTATTGCTTGGCAGCTGTTTTTTGTTCGTTTAATCTACTTTTATAGTATTGAAGTCTGCCTTGATAGTTGTGTTGCTTGGAGGGGGGTTTGAGAAAGAGTCACTACTACGTTACTGAAGTATTATATGTATTCTGTTATTAATCATTGATTATATTTCATTTCCATCTTATTTCAAAGGAAAAAGTATATAGGTTTTATGCTACCCATGTTATCTTATACTAGCTGTGAGTTAAATTTTGAAGAAAATTAGTTAATACATTGCACTAAGCTGAAATGTGGTTGGCATAGGGTGTTTGTAATCTAATGAGTTTATCCATTGCAGTTTATAAACCATGGTTTAATCTGTTGTGTCAATCCAATTAACTGGTTCCTTCAACCATATTAAAACTAACCTTGACTTAGAATGATCCACGAACAATATGTGTATTTGCATGTAGTTCTCAAATCTTGGAAGAGAGTTCTGATTCCCACCAGAATCAGAACTCTATCTATCTATCTATCTATTAATTAATTAATTAATTAATTAATTAATTAATTAAATTTGCTTTCCGCCCATCTCACCACGAGGTATCTCTGGGTGGTTTATAATGCTAAAAAGAATAAAACTATTCAAATAATAACAATAAAATACTATAAAATCCTAATTCTCCCTAGAGCTGGATCGAGAGCATCCAGAGTGGGCTCTATGTTCTGCATGTAGACTGAGCACGTGATCTTCATTTGCATCTGTGATCACTCCCTCTTCGTCTGGTGATTCCCCAGTTCGGCTCAGTCTTCATCACAGACAGACGTGGTTGAACAAACAGCTTCGCCTTTCATTCTGATGGACTAAGCGTGAGCTTGGAAACAATTGCCTTTATTTGGAGGATCGCTTTGGCGATTAGGCTGCTAGCTGGGCTAGCGGTCTTGTTCCAGCTTCCACTGCCGAGGTCCCCGCCAACCAGGTTTAGCGGTAGGGCCTTTGTAAACCGGCATCCATTAGTGTCGGGGCCCAGGCATTCCCCCTGGAGGGGGAATCAGTAGCTACCCAGTTTGTCTAGGCACAGTTTGTCTAGGTGAGGTGGCAGGAGCATGTGGGAGTGTGATTGGCGCCGCGGCAGCTTCAGCCCTTCGTGGGCCGGCTTCCCTTCATTGCGGGGGCAAATGGCGTCACGCATGCCTTCCACCAGCCAGCAGGCCCAGAAAGGGACAAGAGGGCTTGCCCTACTTCCTCCCCAGGCCAGAAACATGGCGCCGCCAGCCAGAGAGCTTCAGCTAAGGGTACAACAACCAGGAGCCAGGCAGCCGCAAGCGGGGCTCCAAATCAGCCAAAAAAGATGCAAAAAGGCGTCAAAAGGCCTTGGAGAAAGAACTGGCCAAGCTCCAGAAAGCTAAACAGAGCCAGGAGCAAAGCGACCTCCCCCAGAGGAGGAGTGGAATTTTCCTGCCCTCAAAGAGTGGAGCCATTGGATCCCATTAATGATCCAGCTCATTTGCAGCCTGCCACTTGCAGTGCCTGGTTGCCAGATGGCGCCAGGGAGTCGTCCTCCCCCACTTTAGGAGATGTTATGGATAGATTAGCATTTGCAACCCTAGTTTGCCTGCAGCACGTTTTGCAGAGTCACACCTGCATTTCACTTCAGGACCCACTGCTTCATTTACTCTGACTGCAGCGGGGATCCGCCCACAGGAGGAAACTGTGTGCCTGATCATTTGCAGCAACTGATTTCTTAGGCCTAAGACTATGGCTAAACCCAAGGTTTAGCCATAGGCTTACAGCAAAGGAACCAACCTTCTCCAGGGGTTCCACTCCAGCAGCCTCCAGTGTTGCAGCCTGTACTTCAAGAGGCTTGGATGGGGCCTCAGAGTCTTACATCTGTGGCCCATTCAATCAGAAGCGGAGACTCCTCAGCTGAGGAGGAGGAGGATATGATGGCCTTTTCTGAGGATGAAGGGAGGGATTCAGAACCATCCCCCTTCACAGGCCTTTTCAAATTGGATCATTTTAATTGATTCGCAAGGACAAGTCCATTATGAATTTGGAATCTGAAACTGTTCCAGATCCTGCTCCCAGCCCGGGGGGTTCTGGTCATGTGTTCTTTACTGAGCCAGCAGTTGAGCTGGGGTGGTTCCATCACCCAAATTATTTTTAGATGTAGTCAAACATCAATGGAACAACCCTGAGGCAGGGCTTCTGCCTTCCAAAACTGAGCAGAAGCTCTATAATGTGGCTCCAGATCTGGCTGAAATTCTACAAGTACCCACAGTGGACAAGCCGGTGGCAGTATTGACATCGGTTGCTCTGCTTCCAACTGATGCAATGGATTGCCTGAGACCTAATGACAAGAAAGCTGAATTATCATTGCGTAAGTCCCATCAGGTGGCTGCCTAGGTGGTGAAGGCTGCCACTTGAGCTTCATTCTTCAACCGGGTTCCCTGCTCTGGTTTCACAACTGCAGGAATGCATTTCACCGGAAGATTTGAGGATACACCAAGATATTAATAAATTAATAGTTGCTGCTGAATTTTCAGTGGATGCCACATTGAATGCAGCTAAGTTCACTTCATGGTCCATAATATCTTCAATTACTACCTGTCACCTGTTTTGGCTTAAGCACTGGCAGGCCGACAATAAAAACAAATGGAAATTGGCTTCGGCTCCCTTTACAGGCAACAAATTATTTGGAGACATTCTGGAACCTATTCTGGTAGAGACCAAGGGCAAGGCCATGCCTTCCCTTTTCAGACGGGGGGAACACCAGCCCTCTCCTTATTACAGGAGGCAGTCCTTTTGGGACCCGGACCCAGGACCCAACTATCAGCAATTTCAATGACAGTACCCTAGTCACCAGGAAAGGGATCTGGACAGGTCAAATTTCAGGAGTCGATCTCAACCCCAGGGCAAATGGCCCTTTCGAGAGGCTGGAAGTTGCCTTTACCGCCGTGCAAAATGACTGCAGGACCGCGCCACCAATCGGTAGCCAGCTCAGCCTCCATTTCCATCAGTGGGAGGCCACAACCTCAGACACATGGGTACTCACCACAGTGAGATCAGGGTTGGTGCTGGAATTTCTCTCCGCTCCCCCAAAATTTTTTCTCAGATGCCCTGTCTCCAGGGACGCTGCCAAATGGCGCCTGATGGAGGCAGCGATCCAGCACTTGCTGGAGATCCAGGCTATCGAACCTGTCCCTCAAGAACATCAGGGACAAGGGTTCTATTCGATTCTATTTGTGATCCAAAAGAATTCCGGAGGGTTTTTATTTTATTTTATTTTTTATTTTTTTAATTTGATTTATATGCCGCCCTTCTCCGGAGACTCAGGGTGGCTTACAATGCGTTAAGCAATAGCCTTCATACTTTTGTATATTTATACAAAGTCAGTTAATTGCCCCCATAATCTGGGTCCTCATTTTACCTATCTTAGAAAGGATGGAAGGCTGAGTCAACCTTGAGCCTGGTGAGATTTGAACTTGCAGTAATTGCAGGCAGCAGATGTAAGTGGATATTAATTAGTCTGCTGAGCCACCAGAGTTCCCTCTGGTGGCTCAGGGCAATCTTAGATTTAAAGCACCTAAACCAGTGTTTGTAGTTCGAACAATTCAAAATGCAGTCTCTCAAGTCAATATTGGACAGCACGCGCGAGGGTGACTTCCTCACCTCTATAGACTTAACAGAAGTATATCTTCATGTTCCGATCAAACCAGCACACAGGCAGTTCCTTCAATTTGCCTATTTGGACAGACATTATCAGTACAGAGCCATGCCATTCAGCCTCTCATCTGCACCGAGGGCCTTCACACGTTGGCTGCTCTGGCGGCCCATCTGCACTCAGTCCCAATCAGAGTCCAATGCTATCTGGACAATACTTTGATCCAGTCCCCTTCAGCCAGACAGGCGGAGCCACAATGAAGGCGCTTCTCCATAAACCACAAGATAAGTCACTTTTCTCCAGTGATCAAATTGCTCCATCTGGGAGCCTTGATAGACACAGCTACATGCCAAGTCTCCCTATATCCGGAGAGGCAAGATAATCTTCAACAACTAGCCAGGCACATCATGGCTATGAGAACAGTTCCTCTATCACTCCTGTCACAGCTCCTCGGCAAAATGATGTTGTGCATCTCTATAGTTCCGTGGGCACGACTACATGCCAGGATGCTGCAATGGTTCCTCCTGCTGTACCAAAGATCAGGCAGGAGCAACTCACAGGACAAGGTAAGAAGACTCCCATTAAACGTGTGGCATTCCTTCCAGTGGTGGACATCACCATCCCTCTGCAAGAGTTGCCTGTTCAAGGAACCTTCCCGAGTTACCATCACGACAGACGGCAGCCTCTTTGGTTGGGGACCCCACAGCCAAAATCTGCTAGCCCAGGGCAGGTGGACTCAGGCGGACCTGTCACACAACATCAATTGGCTGGAGCTCAGAGCGGTCCATCTGGCGTTCAAGGCCTTCAAGGGCTCCATCTCTGGCCACCACGTATTAGTCCTAACAGACAATGCGACGGCCAAAGTGCACATCAACCAACAAGGGGGGACACATTCCAGGTCCCTCATGGTGGCAGCGGGTCAGCTGGTCACTGGACAGAGCGACACCTCCTGTCGTTGAGGGCACAGCACATCTCAGGGGCTCTAAATGTGCAGGCAGGCAGTCTCAGCAGGGTGACGGTGGACCAGGCGGAATGGTGCCTGCATCATCTCCCTATTCCAGCTACTGTCAGATCAATACGGGACTCCTATCTTGGATCTGTTTGCATCCCCAGAGAATTCCCAGCTACCACACTTCTTCAGCAGGTACCGGACGGAGGGAATGGAAGGGACAGATGCCCTCCGCATTCCGTGGCCTCCGGGTCTTCTCTACGCCTTTCCTCCTCTTCCCCTGGTCCCAGCATTCATCAGGAAGGTGAACCTTTTGGTGGAGGTGATCCTGCTGGCTCCTCATTGGCCCAGGAGACCATGGTTCGCTGACCTGATGAGCCTATCAATGGAGCGACCCCGGAGGATTCCAGACGACAGGATCCATCTCAGCCAGGGGGCCTTGATCCACCTGGAGCCCCAGTGGCTACATTTGACTGCCTGGTGGTTGAGTGGCAGGCCCTGGGATGCAAACATTTCTCTCCCAGAGTCATCCAAACTATTCAGGCCTCCAGAGGCCAATCCACATTTAGAATATAGAATGCGACTTGGAGGTCCTTCTGCACCTGGTGCTCCAGGTCGCAGATTAATCCATCAGTGGCTTCAGTGACTCAGGTCCTGGAGTTCCTCCAGGACGGGTTGGATAGGGGATTGACACCCAGTACTATCAAGAGACAGGTTGCAGCATTGTCTTCAGTTTTGTCTCTTGGGACACGGGAATCCCTTTCCAGACATCCCACAGTACGCAAATTCCTTAGGGAGGCTACTAATTTGTGCCCACCAGTCGTTCACAGGTATCCCACCTGGGACCTCACTAAGGTTTTGAAAGCTCTTATGGGCATCCCCTTTTAACCTTTAAGGTCAGCCACACTGTGTTTCCTGACACATAAAGTGGCGTTCCTCATTGCCATCACTTCGGTGTGGAGGATTTCAGAACTGGCGGCCCTATCCATCAGACAGGACTTATGCATCTTTCACCAGGACAGGGTCATCCTCAGGGTCACCCTTCTTTCATTCCCAAGGTTAACACCTGGTTTCATAGGGCATAAGTGTTGGTCCTACCAAACTTCTGCCCAGAACCACGGCATGCCCTTGAACACAGGTGGCATACCTTGGATGTCAGAAGGGCCCTCTGTATTTATATCAAGCTTACATCTTCCTTCAGGAGGACGGAGTCCTCATTTGTTTCATTCCAACCATCAACATTAGGCAACAAGGTCACTTCTTCAACGGTGGGACAGTGGCTGAGGGCCTGCATAGGCATATGAGGTTCAGGTCCTTCCAACACCTGGCTGAATAACAGCTCACTCTACCAGGAGTGCGGCCACCACAGCGGCATGGGCAACGCAGGGCTCCATTGAGGAGGTGTGTTGAGCAGCCACATGGTCCTCCCCCTCACCATTCATTTGGCATTATAAGTTGAACACCTTCACTTTGGCTGAAGCAGCCTTTGGGAGGAGAGTCCTCCAGAGGGTCCATGATGCCGGGGAGACTTAGGACCAGACGCTACCCACCCGTTAAGGAGACAGGCCAGCTTTGGTATGTCCTACTCTGGATGCTCTCGATCCAGCTCTAGGGAAAATGAACATTGGTCCTACCTGAACACCATTTTTAGTAGAACAGGTAGAGAGCATCCAGCCCCACCCTTACTAATGTCTGGTCTACAGTCAGGGAAGGGCTACTATTTTACAGGTCACAAGTCTATGCATCGCTTGACCTTTGCTGAACTGGGGAATCACCAGATGAGGAGGGAGTGACCAGAGATGCAAATGAAGATTTCGTGCTCAGTCTACATGCAGAACATAGAGCTACTACCCACTCTGGATGCTCTCTACCAGCTCTACTAGAAATGGCATTCAGATAGGACCAATGCCCATTATCAGCTATAATTAAAAGTTGGGGAGGGAAGAAGTAGGATGAGCGGGGGCGGGAGATCTGTTGATGAATCTATCAACCACATCCAAGATGATGCTCCCCCCATTGGAACACCAAGCCAGCTGATCGAGTCAGGTCTTCAATCTCTTATGGAAGGTCAAAAGGGTGGGAGCTCACTTCACTCCCTGGGACAAGATATTCCAAAGGGCAGGAGCAGCAGCAGAGAAGGCTCTTCTCCTAAATCCTGCCAGCTGCAATTCCCTGGCTAATGGGGCCTTCAGTATGTCTCCTCTATCAGCACAGGTGGAGTGGGCCAATCCCATTGAGATGAGATATTCCTCAAGCAACCTGGAGCCATGAAGGGCTTTAAAGGTGATAACAAACACTTTGAATCGCATCTGCAAGCAAATGGTAGCCAGTGCAGCTTGTAGTATAGCAGTGGAGCCCCCAAAAGCTGCCCACACTGCCTCATTCTGTAGCAGCTCTATCTTCCAAATGCTCTTCAAGGGTAGCCCAATGTAAAGTGTGTTGCAATAGTCCAAATACATAATAACTAGGGCTTGAATGACTGAGCACAGGGACTCCTGATCGAGGAAAAGCTACAACCCACAGTTGTACAAAGGGTCTCTTAGCTGCAACTGCCACCTGTTCTTTGTGCAGGACTCGTGAGTCCAGATGAACCACCAAGTTCCGGACCAGATCTGTCTGGAGTAGTGCCACCCCATCCAGAACTAAGGATTCAAAGTCCTGGATCTTTGGGGTCCATACACCAAAGCCATTTGGCCTTGCCATGGTGATGCAGTGGTTAGAATGCAATACTGCTGATTACCAGCTGCCTGCAGTTAGGCAGTTCAATTGTCACTGGCTCAAGGTTGACTCAGCCTTCCATCCTTCCGAAGTGGGTAAAATGAGGACCCAGATTGTTGGGGGCAATATGCTGACTCTATAAACTGCTTAGAGAGGGCTGTAAAGCACTGTGAAGCAGTATATAAGTTTAAGTGCTATTGCTTGCCAGGGTTCAGCCAAAGCCTAGAGTACCCCAACCAGGTCCCAATAGCCCCCAGACACAGCAACAGCATCACATAGGTCACCAGGGATGGACATATAAAGTTGATTATCATCAATTTAGACAATAAAGAGAAAAATTTCCTCAAAGATTGGGCGTTTGGAAATTCATTTATTTGGAGATAACAACGAAGCTTGACAACATTATTGTTATCGTCATAGATATGATATCACACTGAGATGACTCTCTCTCTCTCTCTCTCTCCCCCCCCTCTCTCTAGACAGTGATTGTGGGTTCCTACCTCATTGCACATGGATTTTTCAGTGTATATGCCATGTGTGTGGACACACTTTTCCTTTGCTTCTGTAAGTATCTTGTTAAACTGCTAAACGGTGCCAGCAACTGTTGCTTTATCCAAAAGTAGATGGTTCTTTATTGACTCCAAAGCTACTCCCCAGTTACTGTAGCATTAAGCCTGGAATTCAATCCTGATGAAGCTCCAGGTTGTCTCAGCCTTCCATAGCACTAGCAGCATAGCACTTAGATTTATATACCACTTCATAGTGATTTACAGCCCTCTCTAAGAGGTTTACAGAGTCAGCATATTGCCCCTAACAATCTGGGATCTCATTTTACTGACTTCAGAAGGATAGAAAGCTGAGCAGTGAAAATTGAACTCTGCAAAATTAGACTGCAATACTGCATTCTAACCACTGGGCCACCACACCATCCTTTGAAGGTTGGTAAAAGGAGGATCCAGATTGCTGTGGGCAATATGCAAATAATGCTTCTACCATGTAAATCGTGCAGAGAGTACTGTAAAGCACTATGGGGCAATATTATAAGCCTAAATGCTAATGCTAATGCATTAAATTAGGAGATACATTGCAAGGGCCTTCTCCTATATCTTCTTCATCCACAAAATAATGAATTCTCAAAGGTTGCATTGGTTAATGCTTTTAGGCAACTTGGAGATCAGAAAGGGATGGTCGTAACTAAATTGATCCTCCCTTTGCCAGGAAACTGCATTCTAGTGCTATTCCAAAGATAGCACATTAGTCTGTTGAAGTATAAGCAAACGGCAATATTACAAGAAAGGTTGTCTTTGTTCAGCAGCCACTCATTCCACAACTATTCTATGTTGTGATACACTGAAGAGTTATAATGGGTCCTTGTAGTTGTAGTCATTGCAACATTCCTGTGGTGAATATAATTCAGGCGCTTGGCTACCAGCTTGCAATTACAATAGTTGCAGCATCCTACAGTCACTTGATCACAATTTGTGGCTTTCACTGCTGGCTTCCAATAAGCAAAATCAAGGGGGGAAGTCAACAGTAGGCTACAAATGGGGTTCATGTAATGTCACACCTAAAAATAGCCACTTGGTTTGCCAGAATTGTCATTGTAAGTTAGTGCAGTCACATGACATTGCACTTTATAACTACATCATTTAGTGATGGAATTCCCAGTTACAATGACAATAGTTAATTAAAGACGTCTTGTACTTCAAAGTAAGGTTTACTGTGTTTCCATGTCATCATTCCTATCAGATAGGAATTTCTCTGACTCAGGGATATTAGAGTGGCCAGATGCAAAAGATATAGAATATGTATATAATGTTAATCATTTTATAAACATAAAAACAGGCTTAACAGTGTCACTAAAGGGAAACAGCATAGCAATAAAAAAATGGACTCTTAGCTTCTGCCCATAATTCTGCTTCTACATTTCTCGTCTGTTATTTAAAAGATGCAAAATTTCATAGCTATATTCATCAGCAAACATGAGAAGGCAATTTTTTACTTCTGAAACTGACAAGAGTCTCTTTATATTAGAGACTATTCTGTATTTTGTTGAAATGGCAGGGGCAGAAGATAACAAATTAGTCATTTATAGTGTAGGGTGAATTACATTGAACGTTAGTCATACTAACACTCTTTCTTTCCCTTGCTATTGATCTGCTAGGAAGTCTTTGGTTATAAAGCAGAGTTGCTAATCCAGTGTTTTTCTAGATGAGCATTCCTCCAGTAAGGCAGGATATGACACTTAGCTCAGATACCAGACTTGAAAGGTGAGAGATTTATGGTCTCTGTTTTTAATTAGAAATGCTATCATGGCTGCTATCATCATTTTCCTGGCTGGCAGCAGATCTAAGTCCACAATCCATAAACTAGGTCCTTTAGAGCCAGGCATTGAATATTCCAGAGAACTGCACTAAATGTTTCCTTATTGTATCAGATGTTTCAATTGTAAAAGCAGTTACCATTGTTCTCCAGAATTGATGGACTCAGTACTTATAAATCAAAAAGGAAAAATTGAAGAAAGAGAGAAATGTTTTTATGTTCTTTTTTATGAGATAAAAGAACATTTGAGAAATGTAATAGGACATTCAGATTAATGGTGATGATAGTTTTTATTAACTGGATAAGCTAGCTGGAGGAATCTCAGCTTTTTCAATTAATTAGGTAGTATCATCTTGGGCTTGGTTTCTAGTGACTTCCTGAACAATATTCATAACCATGAAGTGCCTCTAGTAATACTTCCAAAAATGATCCTATAATCTCTTTGACATTGCCCATGCATCCTACATTTGTTGTCTCCTACACCCATCAAGCACAGTAATTTTCCCAATCTATCACCTTTTTATATCATATGTCCAAAGTAAGGTAAACTTCTGCTTGTTCTTTATCACCTCATCTTATTTGATTCTTCTTAAAATCATTCACCAAATCCATAATTCAAACTTTTTCTTAGTGTCCATTTTTTACATTTGCACTGAAATGTACTGTACAAGAAGTTGCTGTGCTTCTTTCTTGTCTTAGAAGATTCTTTCACGATTTTGTCTTAAGTTTGTTATTGCCTTCTTCCTGAGGATTCATTTCCTCACTTTTTCTCCAGTTTAGTTTTCTCCACTTTGCTTGTGAGAAAATGGTAGGAAAGGTCACAAATGGTTAATATGTAACTCTGGGATGCTGCAACTGTCATGGTTGACAAGTGCCTGAATCACAATCATATGATTGCAGGGATGCTGCAGTGGCTGCAACTTCATGGACTGGTTGTAAGTCCCCTTGTTCAGTGCCAACTTTGAATGGTCACTGAACAAGTGGTAATCAAAGGACTACCTGAATTTCAATATGACAGTATTCCAACTGTCATCTCTTTTAGTCTTGCTATTCTGCTAATATATTTGCTGTATAACTGAGTACAATATGCATCTTTCTCAAGCCTTTCTTTATTTTCACCTCCCTATTTCTGAATTTGGTCTTAAAACAAAAACCAAATTTGGACTCCTTCATTGCAAAAGTCCCTCAGCTGCCTTAGAACAGTAATAAATGTTCCTGAACACTCATTAGATTTAACATATACATAATCTACACCAGAGGTCCCCAGCACCTGGGCAGCAGACGACTACCAGGCTGTGGCCCATTGGGAACCGGGTTGCACAAGTGGCAAGTGCACAAATCTTTATTTGTGCATGTGTGGGATTAGGATGAGCACACAAAACCATTCCCTGCTGCCACGTGCCACCACTGGTCTGTGTAACCAAAAAGGACTGTTCTACACAATTAAGCCCTTTTTAAAAAAATAAAGGGAGCAAAATAACTCTTATATTCTTTTATTATCTCAATTATTCATTTTATATTGGTTCACTTTTGTAGGTTTACATTTTTGTTTGATGTTTGACTTTTTGCAATTTTGTCATGGAATTCCTCATTATTTTCCTCCATTTCATCTGTAGTAGGTGCATACAGTTATACATATTCACTTGATATTCATTAATTCTGAAGGTATGAGTTTATCTTTTGCTGAGTTATAGCTGAGCACATACTTAGCCATGAGTTATTTAAATTGGCTCATCCTAAGGTCTAGACTTTAGGTTCAGTCTAGGTTCTAAAATATACCATTCAATATTTATTCTGCTTTGTGATGGTTTCAAATTTTCTTTAGTTTATGTTTGTCCTGTTCCATATTCCAATTCTATGCGTGAAACAAGGAACTCTACTTTCAGTGCCAGCATCATTAGTGACTTGTTTATTCCTTAATTTTGTTGTGTTGTCACTTTCAGATCCATTCACAAAAATTCAGTGTTTTCTCCAGTAACTTCAGTAACTAGGGAAGGGCCTTCCAACCTTGGAATTAACATTCAGCATCCAGATTTATTATAATATTTTGGCCATTTACATACAGTTTTCTTGGCCGTAATACCAAAGTATTTTGCCTTCTTCTAGGTTTGATTTTTTGAATTTCTCCTCCTGAGTAGGTTATCTTGCCTCATATCTGTAGAGTCCTACCTGCCCTCCCCACTTGTACATTTGTATTTTAGAAAATTTTGTAGTATTCCCATTTTGGTTACTTATTAAGACACAATTGCAACCACTTAATTAATAGCATTAATCTAAAAGCATTTGAAAAGTGAATTACAGTATAAAAAGTTAGTTGTGGCTGGATCTTTTCAAACTTTTCTGCTTTAACAAACTAAGAATACATGTTTCGTTCTGTGAGGGAAAAGAGCCATAGAATAACACAGATAATAAAAAGCATAAATAAGAATATGACAGCTTGAGAGAAGATGTAAAACATTTTCTGCAGTGAAGAATCATGCAGAATGTTACGAGATCAGTCTTCATTTAGAAAAAGATATGACTAAGACTGAACAGCTGAATCATGGGCTTGGAGGAGTAGGATCAACATAAGGTGGAATCTTTACATAGTACAAAATTAACATGAAAGTGACAGTGCTGATAGTAACTGACAGCTTTCCTTAAAAAGATGTCTCTCATTAGTTGTTTGCTCTTATAGCTGAATATAGCTATATAGTTGTTACGTAACTATTACTGAGTACCAGTGGTGGGTTCCTCCCGGTTTGGCCCGGTTTGGCCGAGCCGGTAGCGGTGACGATATGACGTCACCGAACCGGTTCTCTTTGTTTGGGAGCTGGGCCCTCCCGCCCCCCACATTATTCTTACCTTTTATTTGGCCCCACCCCCAATCTATTTGCTGCCTCCCGAGTCCCAGGTAATCGGTAGAAGGGAAAAAACTGTTTAAACTTTTGCTGTGGGGCTTCAAAGGGCCGCCCTACAGCTGATCAATGTTAAAAGGCAGTGTGGTGGTAGATCGGTGCCTCCAAAAACAAATGAGAGTAGACTGGTGCCTCCAAAAACAAATGGGTAGACCGGTACAGCTCTGCAAGCAGTTAAAAGCCTGGTAGACCAGTACCTCTGCTAAATCCTAAAGAATTGTCACATGACCATCAAACCATGCCCACAAAATAAGCCACGCCCACAGAACAGGTAGTAAAAAAATTTAGAACCCACCCCTGCTGAGTACCTAAAACAGAAGAAGAATGTTGTTGCTGGGTTCTGTA